TGGTGGGAAAGGAAGGACCGGCCTGCCCAGCCTGAGGTAGGAGCACGCAGCTGAGACCGGCTGTGTCTGCCCCAGCCCGGGCACTGCCAGGGCAGGCTCAGGAGCAGGGAAAGCCCATTTGGGGACAAGTCAGGGGGCAGCACCAATCATCCCAGCCCCAGCCCCCTGCACCGGGGCGCACTGGCACCAAAGCCCCATGCCCAGACCTGATGCTGTCGGCAGAGTCGCTCCCACGCCTGCCCCTGTGACCTGTGCCCAGGGGCCGACTGTGTAGGCATCACCGCAGAGCTCTGCCTTCTGGGCCCAAAGTACTGGTTTTATGGCAACTGGTCACGGTTGCACACCGGACGTGCTTCTGGGTAAGAGAAGCAAAACGTTTGGTCTATCACAGGGCTGCTCCTCACGCCCATGGGCAGGGACATGTTGTGGGTGAAAGTTTCTGGGAACAAGTCCCAGGCTCTCCAGGACACCTTCTGAGAGGGAAAGACATTGTCAGCAGGCTGTGAGATCCCAGCTGTGCCATGCGCTGGACGCAGACCAGCTCATAGTAGCAATTCCCCAGCGCCGCTCCCATGCTGCTCGGTTTGATCAGCCCAGAATCCTCCATGCACGTCTCCCTCATTATCCCGGTGCACATTGCTCCTGATGCACTGCAGAGCCCGATGGATGTTGTGTTGCTGGATGTACACGGGACCTCCTGCCCCGTCTGCCTCTTGGAGCAGAAGTTCCTACACCTGAGGCGGGGAACGGGCCAGGGAGGTGTACAGATTGCACCATGGCTCGCCTGTCTGATGCAACAGGGAGAAAAGCTTTACTGGCGATACAGAGACAGCAAAGCAGCAATGCTACAATGCGCTAATGGGAATCGCACTGCGCTGCAACTATCTTGGGTGGATTTGAGGAGAGGTCTCACGCTTAGAGGTGGCTCCTGGGTTTCCGTGTCTGTGGTGATCACCTGATGTTTCTTGGGATGCAGTCCAGCAGAGACAACCTCATTTTCCTTTGCTGTTTCCTTGATGACTGAGTGGGCCGTTACCATTGCTAGGTGGTTGCTGCCCTGTTTTATTTTCCTAAGAAGTTTTATTGTTCTAACCAATATTTACAGTATTTATGGCAGTATTGCCAGCTGAAAACCACAAGCCTGCAGCACCTAATTCCCCAAGATGTGTTCCTTGTTGTGCTTCTTTTACTAGGACCTCTTGACCTGACGTTTCCCTACCTGCTGTTGGTTCCTTCTGCCAAGTCTCCACGGTGAAATGCAAAACTGCACACCAGCAATTTGAGGAAATCAGGGGTTCATCCAGAAGTCTACTGCATCAGGCAGCAGAGTCTGGGGAGGAGGTGAGCCCCCCTCAGTGATGAAATAACAGGCTAGGGACTATTTAAAAAAGGTGGATGTTATCCACAAGGCCAGATGCTATGAACCCAAGGGTGCTGAGGGAGCTGGCTGATGTGATTGCAGAGCTGCTGGTCATTATCTTTGAAAAACTGTGGCAATTGGGGGAGGTCCTAGATGATTGCAAAAGGGCAAAGCTAGTGCCCATCTTGGAGAAAAGGAAGGAGGAGATCTAGGGAACTGCAGATCAGTCAACCTCACCTCAGCCCCCAGAAAAATCATAGAGCAGGTCCTCAAGGAATCCATTTCTAAGCACTTGGAGGAGAAGGTGATTTAGGAACAGTCAGTGTGGATTCACCAAGGGCAAGTCATGCCTGGCCAACCTGATTGCCTTCTATGATGAGGTGACTGGCTCTGTGGATGTGGGGAGACCAGTGGACATGATATACCTTGACTTCAGCAGGCTTTTGATACCATCTTCCATAGCATTCTTGCAAGCAAACTAAGGAAGTATAGGTGGATGAATGGACAGTGAGGTGGAAAGAAAGCTGCCTGAATAACCAGGCTCGACAGGTGGAGATCAATGCCTGGAAGCCTAGCTGGCAGCTGGTATCAAGTGGAGTGCCCCAGGGGTTGGTCCTGGGGCTGATTTTGTTTAATGTCTTCATTACTGATCTGGAAGATGGCACAGAGTGCACCCTCAACAAGTTCACGGTTGACACCAAGCTGTGGGGTGTAGTAGATATGCAGAAGGGTAGGGGTAGGATTCAGAGAGACCTCCACAAATTGGAGGAGTGGGCCAAAAGAAATCTCATGAGGTTCATCAAGGACAAGTGTGAATTCCTGTGCTTAGGATAGAACAATTCCATGCACCAGTGCAGGCTGGGGGTGACTGGCTGGGCAGCAGCTCTGCAGAAAAGACCTGGAGGTGTCAGTGGACAAGAAACTGGATATGAGCCAGCAGCGTGCCCTTGTTGCAAAGAAGGCCAATGGCATCCTGGGCTGCATTAGAAGGAGCGTTGCCAGCAGACCAAAGGAAGTAATTATTCTGCTGTGTTCAGCACTGGGGAGGCCACGTCTGGAGTCCTGTGTTCAGTTTTGAGCCCCTCACTACAGAAAGGATGTGGACAAATTTGAGAGAGTCCAGAGGAGGAGAACAAAAATGGTTCAGGGGGCTGGGACACATGACTTGAGGAGATGCTGATGGAACTGGGCATATTTAATCTGCAGAAAAGAAGACTGGGGGGTGGGGATTTGATAGGAGCCTTCAACTACCTGAAGTGGGGTTTGAAAGAGGATGGAGCTTGATTGTTCTCAGTGGTGGCAGAAGACCAAACAAGGAGCAATTCATAGATTCATAGATTTAGGGTCGGAAGGGACCTCAATAGATCATTGAGTCCGACCCCCTGCATAGGCAGGAAAGAATGCTGGGTCTAGATGACCCCAGCTAGATGCATATCCAGCCTCCTCTTGAAGACCCCC